CCTGTGTCCTATAGGTTTTGGGTTTTTGAGTGTTCATTTTAATTTGTTTCTAGAAACTTTTGATTTCTTCCTTGTCTCATTGTTTACCCATTCATTGTTTAATGGCCCATTACTCTTTCTCCATGTATTTGATTGTTTCTGAGTTTTTTCCTTGAAGTTGTTTTCTAGTTTTAAACCATTGTGATCTGAGAAAATGCTTGATATAATTTTGTTTTTCCTGAATTTGTTGAGGCTTATTTTGTGTCCTATCATGTGCTGTATCTTTAAAGAGGTTCCATGAGCATTTGAAAAGAATGTATATTTTGCTTCTTTGATTTGAAAGCTTCTATATACCATATTTTCAGATCATAAGATGCACATAGGTTTTAGAGGAGGAAAATAGGAAAAAATATTTTGAAGCAAAAAAATGTGGTAAAATATTTAACAATATAAATAACATAATATTTCGCCAATGTAAATGTAAACCTGCATTCAGACTATAAGATGCATCCCTGTTTTCCTTCCAAATTTGTGGGGAAAGTGTGTCTTTTTTTTTTTTTAATTTTAATTTATTTATTTTTAGAGAGGGAAGGGGGGGGAGAGGGAGAGAGAGAGAGAGAGAGAGAGAGAGAGAGAAACATCAATATGCAGTTGCTGGGGGTCATGGCCTGCAACCCAGGCATGTACCCTGACTGGGAATCAAAGCTGTGACACTTCGGTTTGCAGCCCGCGCTTAATCCACTAAGCTATGCCAGCCAGGGCTGGAAGTGTGTCTTATAGTCCAAAAAATATGGTATACTACTTAAGCCCATTTGATCTAGGGTGTGCTTCAGTGCCACAATGTCCTTGTTGATTCTTTGTTTGGAAGATCTAGCCATTATTGATAATGGGGTGTTAAAATCCCCTGCTGTGTGTGTTGCTATGTCTTTCTTTAAGTGCTCTGAAATTTTCTTTATATATTTAAGTCCTCTGAGATTTTCTTTATATATTTTGGTGCTGCTATATTGGGTGCATATATGTTTACAATTTTTATAGCTTCCTGATAGAGTCTTCCCTTTAGAATTATGAAATGGCTTTCTTTGTCTCTTTGTATGGCCTTTGTTTTTGTCATCTATTTTTTATGATGTAAGTATTGCTACTCTGGCTTCTTTTTCCTCTCCATTTGCTGGGAATTTTTTTGCCAACCCTTTACTCTCAGTCCGTGTGGGTCTCTTGTTCTGAGGGAATCTCTTGTAGGCAGCAGATGTGGGTAATTATATTTTATCCATTCATCTACCCTATGTCTTTTGATTGTGGCATTTAATCCACTTACATTTAAGGTTATTACTGATAGGTCTTACTCATTGCCATTTGCCCCCTTTGTACTTGTGTTCTTTTCTCTTTCACTGTGTTTCTTCTGTTTCTTAAAGCAGTTTCTTTGGCATATCTTGTAGTGCTGATTTGGTGGAGGTATATTCTTTTAACCATCTTTTGTCTGGGAAACTCCTTGTTTTGCTCTCCATTTTAAATGACAGGCTTGCTTGGTAGAATAGTCTTGGTTGCGGGCCTTTGCTTTTCATTACTTGGAATATTTCTTTCCAGTCCCTTCCGTCTTGTATTATTTCTGTTGAGAAATCAGCTGCTAGACTTATTGGAGCTCCCTTGTATGTTACTATTTGTTTCTCCCTTGCTGCTTTTAAGATTCTCTCTTTGTCTTTAAAATTTGGCATTTTAATTATGATGGGTCTTGGAATAGGCCTCTTTGGGTTCATCTTGATTGGGACTCTCTGTGCTTCTTGAATTTGTGTGGCTTTCCCCTTTCCAGGTTAGGGAAGTTTCTGTCGTCATTTTTTCGTACAGTTTTCTATCCTTACTTGTTTTCTTCTTCTGGTATTCCTGTGATTCGAATGTTGTCATGTTTCATGTTGTCTTGAAGTTCCCTTAAGCTAACTTCACACTTTTTTAGTCTTTTTTCATTTTGTTGCTATATCTGGGTATTTCTTTCTGTCTTGTCTTCCAACTCACCTATTCGATCCTCTGCTTCATCCAGACTCTTGTAGTTCCTTCTCGTGTATTTTGTATTTCAGAAATTTTCTTCATTTCTTCCTGGTTCTTGTTTATAGTTTCTGTTTCCTTTTTCATGCTGTTGTAGTTCCCATTCAGTTCCTTGTATTGTCACTGAGTTCCTTTAGCATTGTTATAAGCATTTATTTGACTTCTATATCTGATAGATTGCTTGTCTCAATTTCCTTTACCTCTTTTAGTGGAGGAAATGAATTCTTCCATTCATTTCGATATGGGGTTCTTTCTTTGTCTCCCGATATTAGGTGACACTTTTTGTTGTTTCTGCATCTCAGGGTGCTCTGCTTTGCCTGCCTGACTTAGTGTGGTTGATTTCTGTTGTAGGACATCTGTGGGACTTAGTGATCTTGTCTGGATGCTGTAGGGCTGCCCTTCTGTTTGTGTGGGCTCTCTCGTCCTTGGGCTTTGGTTGTTGGTGGTTTCTTTGTTGGTGTGTTCTTTCTTTCAGCAGGCATACTAGTAGTCACAACTCCCACTTTGTCATGTATCAGTCAATTTGAAGCAACATCTGCCCTCTTGGGAGTACAAACTTCATGTCTGTTAAGATTCTGTGGCTGTTCACTTTGATTTTCAGAAGATCGGCTAAGTGTCCCAGTTGGGTACATGAGCAGGTTTGGTCAGTTTGCACCTACTTTGCCATCACCTTCTCTGTCCACAAATTTTTGTTTGAGAAAAATTCTTTATCTGTACTTTATGACTGTGTTAAATAAATTATGGTAAGCAAGTTATATTGTAGGGTGGTCCTTGTTGTTTATCTTCTCATTCCATTTTTATCCTGTTCTGCCCCCTCTTTTCCATTTCCTTTCAAGAGAAAATAGCTCAGGACACTGTCTTACAATCACTAGTCTGGGGTCTTCTGAGCCTCTTTACCAGAATCTCCATGGGTGTTGCAGTCCCTGACACAAGCAACATTGTTTTGGGGTAGAAATTTTTATAATGGCTATGAGGCAGAGTGACTAAGTTTGCTAACTACGAGTCTTAACCCTTTGCAAAAACTCAGTTGGAAATTCTTTCCTGCCAATTCTTATATTCACCTGTAAATTAAAAATCATGTTCCTACCCCATTCCCCCTATAAGTAAGGATGTACTACTTAGGAACTTTTACTTCTGAATATTTGGTAATCATTGGTAATCAGTATGTTTTCAGTGCTCTAAAACACTAGAGCAGTGTTCTCTTATCCTGGATCCCCTGCCCTTGTTATCCCTAACTGTGTTGTGAGTTAACATGCTATATGTTTTATTAGGGGAGGTTGTAAATTCTTAGTCTTTCTCAGGATCAATTTTGATTTATATAGGAGTTAAAGGAAATTATAATTAAACTTGTAATGTTTTTAAACCAAACTACTTCCATGGCAAATAAAGTAGTCATTCCACTATCATTGTTTTATGTTTATTTCTTACTATCTTTAATAATAGTCTTTAAAAAAAAAAAAACAATTTTAGCCCTGGTTGGTGTGGCTCAGTGGATTGAGTGCCAGCCTTTGAACCAAATGGTTGCTGGTTTGATTCCCAGTCAGGACACAGGCCTGGGTTCCAGCCAGGTCCCCAGTTAGGGGTGCATGAGAGGCAACAACACATTGATGTTTATCTTTCTCCCTGTCTTTCTGCTTCCCTTCCCCTCTCTTTAAAAATCAATAAAAATTTTTTAAAAAGTAAAATAAAATAAAAACCTGATTTTACTGTTACTTATAATAAACTGTCCTTATCACCTAGAATAAATAATTTTAGATAATTTTTAAAGGACAAATGAAAAGAGGAATGGGAGGAAATTTGATAACGCATTCTAGATTTAGATTAGCATTTATGTGTAGCATCAAACTCTTATCAAGAAACCACCAGTAATACTGCTTTTATAAAAGACAACCAGGATCCCCTGGTGTATGCCTCAGTGGATTGAGCATGGGCTTGCAAAGTGAGAGGTCCCTGGTTCCACTCCCAGTCAGGGCACAGGCCTGCGTTGGGCCAGGTCCCCAGTTGGGGGCATTGGGGAGGCAACCAGTGGATGTTTCTCTCCCTTCCTCCCTCCCTTCCTCTTTCTCTAAAAATAAATAAAGAAATCTTTATAAAAATTAAAAAAACTACCAGGAGGAAATGATGTAGTTCTTTTAGCTTACAGGACCAAAAAAGAAAAAATGTACCCTTTGTTTTCTGCTGTAGGAATGTATTTTTAATAACTAATAGTATTCCAGTAACTTTTTCTAAATTTCTATTATTAAAGCTAAGCATAAATAATTGAGGACCATGATTTAATCATGATCAAAGAATAGATAAATAGAGCAGTAATCAGCACACAAATATTAGGGGGAGAGGTGAGGTGATGGGCAAGGAGGAAGTTTTCCTTGCTAGGGAAACTAAGTATAATATATTAATGGTAAAATATTTTTCTTTGCTTTGTTTTTTTTTTAACCTGTAAAATGGAAATATCTTCATGGTTATTTTTTAGAAGAAGATAATACATGTAAACAATTTAGTGTAGTGCTTAGCATTTAGTAAGCCCTCAGTAAATTTAGCTGTTGTTATTATTATTTGGAATTTTAAAAAGAGAACTCATACTTGTGAACAGCTGATGGTAAATACACCTGCAGTTTAAAATTTAACAAAGCAGGTCCTGGTCAAGTGGTTCAGTTAGAGCACTCTGCCCATATGCAAAGGTTACAGTTCAGTCCTTGGTCAGGAGTGGTTGGAGTGACAGGTTGATGTTTCTCTCCCTCTCGCTACTTCTTTCTTGCTTTCTCCCTTCTTTTCCCTCCCCCGCCCCCAATCAATTTTAAAAAGAAGAGTTTGCAAGGTATTTAAGATACTAAAAATGATATCCAGCTTCTTCACCTGTTTGTTGAATTGCTTTGGGGAAGTTAGCATAAAATTTAAGTCCCTTATTCTGATTAGTAGCATGCAATAAATTTAATGACTATCTTACAAGTGAAATAATTAAATTATCTCTTTTTTTCCCTTTGTTTTAGGTTTCCCCTCAAAAAACCTATAAGGTAAGTTGTTCAGTTACACCTCATACATTTAGGTTAAATTTTAATTGGAAGTATTCCTTTGAAATTATGGTGAATTTTTTTGTGGTTTTTGAAAATGTGAATTTTAGTTTAAAATTAAAAAATATTTTACAAATTTAAAATGTAACAGGTGTTTCTCTTTTTTCTGCAAAATGGCCTTGTTTTGATAACAAATGTTTTTAATACAAGCATTTTAAATTTTTGTTCAAGTTGATGCTTAAGATCACACCCTATGAAGAGGCTTAATTTTACAGTCCATTGGGACTGCTTTCAGTTGTGAATATCATGGGGAGTGTAAAGGAATTACCAGTTTTTGATGTGTTTTATCATCTGGGTGACTGTAGCTGCCTTTAGTTAATGTATTGTGGGAAACTGAATCAGTCTACATTAAGACAGTGAAGGGGAAAAGTCCAAAATGTTCAAATGTCTGTGTCATATCTATGTATCTCTACATTTACTAATTTCCCAGGATTAAATGTCTCTTCCTCAGTACTTTTTTAACATCCTTCCCTTTCATCTTAATTGTCATAAATATTATTTAAAATGTAGGTAGCATGTTATTCCTAATTATTATAGTGCATTTATCATTTTGGTGAAACCATACTACAGGATACCAATGCTAATCTTGGTATTTCCGTTATTTAGTAGTATATATATTTATTGTGTTGACCAGAAAATTGTTTGTTTTTTCTTGCAAGATGGCTCAAGTAGTGCTTAGTTGTCTTAAGTTCATTCAAAACAATTTTGTTAGATTATACAGTGACACCTGTTATATCAGTGTGTATTTAAAACAACTTAACAAAATTGGTGACTTTTTGTGTAGCCATTTTAATATTGAAGATGGAAGAAAGTAAGCAACATTTTTTAGCATATTATGCTTTATTATTTCAAGGAAAGTAAATAGACTTTATTATTTCAAGAAAAAGCAAATTTCAGTTGCTTTTTCTGCAACTGAAATGTAGAAAAGATTTGTGCAGTTTATGGAGATGGTGCTGTGACTGATCAAACGTGTCAAAAGTGGTTTGCCCCACACTGTTGTTGGGATAATTGTAATAAAATAACAATTAAAACATTTTTTAAAAAGTGGTTTGTGAAGTTTCATGCTGAAGATTGGAAGGTACTTCACAGCTGGTAGGCCAGTTGAAGTTGATAACCATCAAATTGAGACATTAATTGAGAACAATCCATGTTTTATCATGAGGATATAGCTGACAATCTCAAAATATCCAAATCAATAAAGTTATTGATGAAAATGAAAAACGTCTTTTATTGTACAGACAAAAACCATACGGCCGTTTTGGCCAACCCAATAGTTATGGTTTCATTTACTGTCCAGCCATTATCTGATCAGGTAATTTGATACACCATAAGAAAAATAATAATTCTAATGTTGTCTGGGCTTGGCTGAGACTGCCGTGGCTAGAATTATAGGCAGGTTTTAAGTGAAGTTTTTCAGAGATATTTTTTTTAACTGCTCTCATCAGTGCTATATTTACACAGTGATTTTGAACTTGATCATGGTGTATATATAAGATTGGGCAATGTGTTGAATTACAAGTAAACAGTTTTCTTATCTGTTAAATGAAAATAACAAAGATTTTTCTTTGAAAAACCACTAAAAGAATTCAGGCAGTTATTTCTAAGAATAAAACTGACTTTATAACAAAACTACTTTTATCATTTTTAAGCATTTTTTATAACCAAGTAAATAGACTCTGAATTACATGCAGCGCAGACTAATTTTAAAATTTCTTGAAAAGTATAGAGAGGTTTATGAGACTGTGTAAGGTAAATTGATTTCTTGGTTTCTTTTTGTAAGACACATTTGAGATTTTTAAATTACGTTTTTGTGCTAGTGACTTTTTTGTAGTAAATATTTGATTGCTTTGATTTAATTTAGGCATGGAAGTATTTTGAGCCGAGAGTCACCAACAGATAAGAAGCAGAAAGTTGAGCGCAGTGAATCACATGATTTTGACCCTACAGGTAAAATATTCTTTTCTTCCAAATTATACTGAGAGAAATAAGCTTCAGAATGTTATAGTTTGAGCTACATAATGACCTGAAACACTTGTTTCAGAAGGAGAACTTCTGTTTATGACTCACCTTCCTCTTCAATTATACCATATAAAATCTTTGCACTCAGGGAATACAAACATTTTTAACTTTCAATACTATGGATTCCACTATGGAAGCATCATTGTAGAGTGTATTTAAATATGGCGATGATAATAGAAGTAGTTTTTATGTCATCATTGGGTGTTTTGTTAAGATCAAGGACTTATTAACATAAATCATAAGTATCAACCAGTAGTAAGTAAAAATCAAGTCTGTAACAACTACCAATTTCTGCAGTCATTTAAAAATTTAGGTTTGGAGTAGATAAATTCAACTTCAAAATTAATTATCATCTCAGTTTAAAGTAAGCAAATGAAGAGATCCCTTTTTCTTCAGTCAAAAAGTATTCTGAATTGAGCTGTATTTCAGCCTTAGTTGTGTTGCTCTTTTGTCAAGTTTTCATGTTAGTAGACTTTCACCTATTTATATCCCTTAATTTATGCATATAGTTTGAACTCTTTTTGTAAAATATAAGCTGTTGCTTTCTCTTTGTAAATTCACCAAGTATTTAATTTATTAAAAAATTGCTTGATAATTTTGCTTTCTTCATTTGAAACTGATATGTGTTCTTTGTGCACATACTATTTTATTGTGTTGTATGTTCCTGTGACAAAAGATAAAATATGTAAATGCTAAGGTTCCCAGATACATAAATATAATGTATATTTTTAGATATTTAGAAAAAATATAAATTTTTAATAGTATTTTTTGTGTCTAATTGAGATTACGTAAAATGAAACCCAATCATCAATTTGTGAGGTTTTGGTGGTGGGAATATTTGGTATGTAACTTCTGGATCTCCATTAAAAGATGATTATTTCTGACACATAATTTTGGCATTATGGCGCTTAGAGACTTTTATTTATATTATTAGTTATTGTCTTGCTAATGAGGGTCACAAGTCCTGCTCTATGTTCATAAAAGTATTTGTGGTCTTGTTAGATTGACTTATTCTTGTATTGTTTATCTGTGATGTGACCATTTCTGCAGACAGATCTAGCAAAGTGATGTGCAGTGTGTCATAATGAGATTATTACAGTTTTTATTGCTTTTGCCATCTCTAAAATGGTCATATATATTTTATAGACTATTCATGTGTTGTTTTCTTTGAACATATTTTTATTGCACTTTTCTTTGGTAAATCTTTAAAATACGTCGTGGTTGTTTGTGACTATTCTAAGTGCTGTCATCATCTGTGATGTTCATACTTTATGTTTGCATGATTTAACTTGATCATGATTCATTCTTTTTCCCCCCATAAATTTTTCCCCTTACATTGGTCTCCATATTTTCTATATTTCTCTCCTTTTCTCCCACTCTTGTGCAGATAGCTCCTCCAAGAAGACAAAGTCTAGTTCAGAGGAGAGTAGATCCGAGATATATGGTAAGCTTTCTATAGACAATTCAGCCTTGCACCTTTGGAGTTTGTTTCATGCTGTTTCCTTTTTAAAAATAACTATAACCTTCCTGTGTCTGCTCTGCATGGCATGATCTGCTGGGAAAGGGAGCCTGGGGTTTTAATATGGCTGTAATGTGGAAGCTTAAGGTTGCTAGAAAACTAACATTGTAGAATAAGAATAGGCCACATTACTCATCTTCTCTTTTATTTTGTTCATGTTAGGGAAGTGATTATCTCTCATATGTTTGGTTTAGGTTCCTCCATGTAACATGGGTGAGCACTGAATAATAATTCTTCTTTTTCCTCTTCCTTCTTATTCTTTATTCATATTCCCTCTTCCCCCCTCCTCCTCCATCCTCCTCCTTCTCTTTCTTCTTCTCCTCCTCTTCTTTATTTCATTTTCTTTATTTTTAATTAGGGCATTAATTTCTTATTATCTTCTTCCCATGTTCCATTTGCAGGGTTTGGGTCACGTAGAATTTCATCAGTGCTACTAGTCTTTTAAGTATAGTGCTGGATAACTTAATGTGTGTTGACAGTTCTTTGGAATTTTTATCTTTTATTTGGTTCTTTATTTTTAATTGCATCATCCTCTGGAAATGCTGTTCTTGTGTAATTTATCCACAGTGACAAAGTGCCTTAAGGATTTTATTTTTATAACCTGAAGAATTTGCCTATACCTTTCATAAGTTTCCCCAAACCTTATTCTGTCTGAATGGGCAAATTATAAATCGGTTTTAAAAATAATCGTTACAAAGAGCAGGTTTAACCAGAATGGTCAATTTTTGTAACAGGTTATTGAAACACTATATTTCCAGATAGTGTCCTGTCTTGCAAGGATAATATAAGCCATATTTATGAAGTGTGTACATATTTTTCTTTTTCCTTAGCAAAGTTTTACCTTTCCTGTTTCCTGTTTTGATATCTAATCAGTTTTCTTGAGAAAAGTGAATAGGAAAAGCAGAGCCTGGAACAAAGACTGAAAATAATCTCTAAAAGACTACGAAGTTATTTTTTTAGAAGATTCCCAATTTGTCATCAAAGGAAAACCGTATCTTCTCTAATAGAGCCAAACGTCTATGAAGTAGAACTTTTCCCAGGTATTGCTGATTCCTAGCTTGATATATATGAAAGGAAATAAAATATGAAAATATCTCTAACCCTTTTAAGATATTTTATAATTTATATCTCCTGATACTTCAGCCAATAATATCAGATACTTTTTAATATCATGAGGCTTCAGTGTTGGGTTATAAAGCAGTAAATGCTTCTTCGTTAGATACATATATAAAATTCTTTGCTTGAGTTTTTGTGACCAGTGCTTTTCTATGTAATTAAACCTTTTACAGTAGTTCAACAGGAAATGTACACCATGCCAGACACTGTCAAGTTTATGTTTTTTTCTTCCAAAGTATTTGGCTCCATATAAGTAAGAAGTAGCTTCCGAATTTCTTGAGACTCTTTTTTTTTTTTTGTTTCGTTCTGTATAAAGAGTTTACTGTGGTTTATTCTCCGTTTAGGAGATGAGAACACTGTCTTTATAGCCCCATTCTTTTTGAGTAACCTCTGCAGTGTTGTTATTTTATCTTCCCCACCATTTTCCTAGATCTGTGGTATGTGTGCAAAAGCTTGCTCTTTGCTTAAGATGATAGGATCTTTGCTTTAGATTATAAGATGATAGGCATGAGTGAATTCAGCTTCCTGTTTGATTTGGATGTTAACAATATTTCAGACATGCCATTGGCTTAGTAGTAATAGAAATGGTTTGAGTAGTAATGAGGATGCAAGATGTGGATTCTCTGTGTGTTTGTTTCTTGAGAGCTGTTGAAGTGCCTTTTGTGGAGGGAACTGAGCCATGAGTTCTCAAAAAGCACTTAGAAAAGAGTTTTTCAGAATGAAGTTAATTAGCATTTTAACTTAAATCTTTTTCACATTACAAATATTTTATCACCTGTGTGAATAGACTTCAGACTATGTGCAGTTAGCATGGATGAAAAAGAATCTCTAACCTCTAGGGAGCCAAGGAAAACTTGGACATAATGGAATATGAGAGTAGAATCATAGCCACTGATGACATGGCTTTAGCATAGGGCTTCTTAACAAGCCAACTTCTAACTTTAGAGATTATACATTGTCTTGGAGTAAAATTCATTAACTGGATACTTAATACAACTGCCAGTTATTCACTTATAAATTGTTTATTTTAAACTCTTTTAGCCGTTTTTATAGCTGTTTTATTAGATAGATCTGCTTTGCTCATTTTAAAAGGAAACCAAGTGTTTGTTTTGTATTGACTTCTTTTGTTAAATTTCTACCTGGTATAGTAGATCAATATTTATTACACATCCCCTTATTTTTCCTTGTGCCTTTTAGAGTCTGTTGATCATATACAGATGTATTTTCTGATCTGCAATTTAATGATACTTAATTTTCCATTTTTCTTACTAATATTATAGTGAAGAAATTCTCTAGCTTTTGTGGGATATAAGAGATTTAACAAGGGAATTTTGAGTTAGATACTCCTTCCTAACTTCTGTCTTAGTTTCATGAAGAAATTTCAGTTGATAGTATTTTGTACAAGAAAATAAGTCATATCTTTTTGAAGCTGTCTTTAGTCTGTTGGGGCTGCTATAACAAAACACCAGAAACTTGGCTTAAATAACAGAAATATAATTATTTTCTTACAGTTTAGGAGACTAGAGTGTGAGATTAGCATGCCAGCATGGTTGGATTCTGGTGAGAGCTCTTCTGGATTGCTTTGGCTCACATGTTCTTTCCTTGGTGTAAGCACATGGAGAGAGAGAGAGAGAGAGAGAGAGGTAGAGGGAGAGGGAGGGAGAGAGAGAAAGAGAAGGTGCGGGAGAAGTGGCAGAGAGAGAGGAGCTCACTCTATATGAATTTTGTGGGGGACACAAACATACAGTCTTTAACATAGGTGAACTGTTAGCTTCTCATATCTGTAAAAAGAGAAGTTCCTGGTTTGATTTATTTTATTTATTTTATTTTTAGAGAGAGGGAAAGAGAGGGTGAGAGGGAAAGAAACATCAATGTATGAGAGAAACATTGATTGGTTGCCTCTTGCACATGTCCCAGCAGGGGATTGGGCCTACCCAGGCATGTGCCCTAACTGGGAAGTGAAACGGTGACCTTCTGATTTATTTGTGGGATGATGCTCAATCAACTGAGTCATGCTGGTGAGGGCTCTTGGTTTGATACTTTCTTTCACCAAATTATGATTCTCTTTTTTTCTTTTAATATTGCAAAAAGCATTCTGCAGTATTAATTTTCTTTGTCCTTATAAAGCATTCATTTCTTAACCTCTTGTAATCTGGTATCTGAACACACACTATCTGGAAGGTAAACCAAAATATTAGACTTGAAACTTATTCTCAGTTCTTACCATCTTTCTGAACCATTTGACAATGCTGACACTCTTCCTTTGGTTTGTACAATATTATATCAATCTGGTTCTTTTTTCTTTATAATTATGTTGTCTTTTCTGTACTTAATTGCTTTTTCTTTTTCTAGTTTTGTATTTTTAACTGTTAGTGAATACTTTCTGTCTAACTGTTCTTCATATTCACATTGACCAATCTGAAATTTGTCATTATTCTTTATGGCTAGAAATCAATCTTCCATTGATTTTCCTGATTTTTTTTTTTTGAGTGGCACTGTCGCCTAGTCTTACCTTTTTAATAGTTATTTTTGACTTCTTTTACTTTGTCCTCTCTTGTTAATTGTTTGCAAGGTCCCATTGATTCTACCATCACTTTATTTTCATTACTCACTATTTGGTTCTATTCCCACTCCTTTTCATCATTTTATCAGACTATTTTAATAGACTCATAATTTTCTTTCACTTTCATTTCACGTTCATCCACTTCCTATTCTCCATCCTTGTATATTTTGTCAGATTAGTATCACTAACAAGGATTTGGGCATTTACTTGCTAGGAAGTACAAATAGTTATTAAAATATGCCATAATTTTGTTTCAAATGTATCATTCTATCTTAATTTACCATTCGTCTAAATGTACCAGGGTCTCCTTCATATTTTCATTTCTGAAATACGGCTTGGTTTTCATTCTTTGTTCATGTCATTCCCATTGTCTTGAAAGGTTTATATCCTATAATTTCTTGTTAGAATCTTCCTCATTCTTCCAGGATTTCCTGGATGTGCCCAGCTGCTTCTGTTCTGTTATCTGAGCTCTGACATCCTGCTTTGTGTCTAGTTATTTGTACTTAGGTTTGTCTTCACATCATCCATCATGCTTGATACCCTGAAGGCACTTGTTCAGTTTTGATTGAATGATCGTCAAGATTGGGATGAGTATTATAGGAAAGAGATTTGGTGGAATAAAATGTTGACTCAACTTAATTGGATTTTTCTTCTGAGAAATTTTAACATAAAAGAAAAAGTAACTTATAAATGAGACTTACTATTGGTAAGAATAGCTTAAAGAAAGAAATCAGCATACTTGGAACATAAGACACCTCTTGTGAGCAGCATTGTGCATTTAGAATCAAGAAGCTTTTTTTTTTTTTTTTAAAGATATATTTTATTTATTTTTAGAGGGGAAGGGAGAGAAGCATCAGTGTGTGGTTGCCTCTTGCATGTACTGTACTGGAGGCCTGGCCTGCAACCCAGGCATGTGCCCTGACTGGGAATCGAACAGACAACCCTTTGGGTCTCAGGCCAGTGCTCAATCCAGTGAGCCACAACAGCCAGGGCAAGAAGCTTCTTAATCAAAGGATTATCTGAGGTCTTACTCATAAAACATATATGTCTGGCAGCAGTTTAAAAATGAGCTGTTTTTATGAGGTTGCCCATGGTCTTTTTCCACATCCTTCCTGGAAGCTAATTCTTTTATTACGTTTTTAACATTTTTTATTGTTGTTTGAGTAGTTTTATGCCTTTCCTCCCACCCCTCCGCACCACCCCAGCCATCTCCACTTCCCTCCCCTGTTTCCACCCATTGATTTTG